CAATCCTTATATTTCGGTCTGTTATTGATAAATGGAATGAACACGCTAATTACTTTGCCATGATAACTAAAAAGTTCCCCTAATGTTCTTCTGCTTACTCTCCGACTAAGATTATCAACAAACGCAGACCAAGTACCCCCTCCATGGACCTCACTCACTTTTCCATCAGAAAACTTGCACTCTCGCTCTCTCACTCTCTCCATGTCTTCAGTTAACTGTTTTTTGGATTGAAGTGAGGTAAGATGATCTTCTTAGGAGCTCAGACGACAAAAAGATAATCTACAGTAAGTTTTATGATGGAAGATCGTATAAGGACTCTCTGGTGGGGAAGAGTAGAAAGCTGGAGAGACCTTAGAGCCAGAATAAGAGTGGTGGAGGGGAGAAGAATGGTCCATTAAATGTTTTCATTCCTCTGGAGAAGAGGGAGTGGATCAAGTTATCCTTGATTGGCATTTTAAAACGTTCCTATGATATTGAATTCATACAGAAGGTCATCTTAAGTGATGGTTTTAATGCAAAGGTAGTTGCCTGGGGTGCAAGGGATTGAAGACACATTGTTTCCGCTTTGCGGGATGGTTCAGGAAACGATGTCTCATCTGTCTCGTGTAAAGTATCATGGGGATTATGGGTAAGTTTTTTGTGTCTTTAGCGGGTATCTTTTACAATTCCAGACAGTCTTGCAAATTTGATTTCCGTATGGTTTGATCTTGTGCCTCGATCAAGCATATAGGGGTTCATCCCAGGTGTCGTTTTGTGGACGATTTGGAAATTGTAGAACGAGATCGTTTTTAACAAAGGGAAATTGCACGTTGCTGTGTTATCTTTTCTCACGAGGTATAGAGTGCCAGCTTGGTTTACCTCAAAATTCCCAAAAGTGTTGGTGGTCTTTCAATAGTCTAGTGGGAGATCTTGCATTAGCTGATCTTGTTTCGAGTTCTGCAAAGAATCCCTCAAATATAGTGAGTTGGTCGCCGCCTCCCCTAGGCTTTGTTAAAGTGAATGCGGATGGCGTTACGGATAGATTGTGGTTGAAGGGTGGCATCGGTGGGTTGCTTAGAGATGAGAAAGGGGTGGTGTTGACTGGATTATGTTGCTGAAGTCTGCTCCTTTCTTCAGCTCCCTTGTCTTGGATATTGTGTCCTTAGTTTTAGAGAGGGCGGTTATTGTTAGATTGATTCATAGGGGCTGTAATTGGGAGGCTAATAAATTAGCTAAGGAGGGGATCAGTTGATTGTAAGGGTATTTTCTAGGGAGCTTATAATGGTTTTTGATTAATTTGCTACCCTAGGTGTATTGGTGTATTATGTAATTGTTCTCTATCTAATAAATTGAGGCACTCTTTTACTCCTTCCGCTAATTGCTCTTTTATAAAGTCAACTATGAGGGAGGTTTTTAACGAGGACTCCTATTTCTATAAAAAAAAGATAGGGGTGGTGTTGGGCTCGTTCTCAAAAAGTGTTGGTTCTGGCCCTCCTATTTTGGCGAAATTAATGGCAATGAAGAGAGGGTTGGCGTTTGTGGAGGCGGGCTTGTTGGCGAACCGAAGGCTCATTTTGGAATCTGATAGTGCTGTGGCAGTGGGTTGGATAAAGAATCCTGCTGTCTCCATCCCATTATTCATGTCCATAGTTAAAGATGTTGCCTCGTTTGTGGTTGACAAAGGTGTCGCTGTTCGACATGTGTTGAGTGCAGTCAATTGGGAAGCGAATGAATTTGCTAAGCGGGGGATAGGCTAATTGGAGGGGTTTATTTGTTTTATTGAATTTATTGTATTGGGATTGTTCACATTTCTGGTAATTCGATGTATGCTTGTGGTAGTATGTTTTTTAGGAGGTAGATGTTGAGTAGGGTATGGTCATTGATGTGTTTATGGAGTTAATGCAGCCCATTGCTGAGGTAGTCATCAACGGGTCTGGTTGTACGGTACTCTTCTTGTATTTGGTGGTTATGAAAAAAAATTAAGGCACCCTTTTCCTCCTTCCAATGTCCGTTGAACCACTCTTGGTGTTTGACGGATACGAAGGGTTTTTTTAATGAGGCCTCCTATTTATTAAAAATAAATAAATAAATGAAAGCGTCCCAGATGTTTGTAGGGAAGAATTAAAGGATGAGTCAACAGACTTTTGGGAGGAAAACTCCTCGGAAGATAATCAAAATGGTGATCAAAATCTACAGGTGGGCATCTCTTGGAGGGTCAGGAAGTTCAGTAGTCAAGTTTGGCATCTCAAGAGAGAGGGTGGAGACATGGTTAGAGGGGAACAAGAATGTAGGTTGCATAGGGAATGGCCATGAATTTACTTCTTCAGATGGATTACAGGAAGAACATATTAACGGTGGAATCGGGTGGGGAACATAAGGATTATGTGGACCCCTCTCGCTTGGGTTTGGTTTGTGATACAAATAGGGATCACACAGTCAGTGGAAATAACTACTCCCAATCCCCGCTCAAGATAGGTCAATTTCTATACACAATTTAGATGGTGGGTCTAGAAGGGTTGACCCCAATTTAAATGAATTGATCATATCCTGGCTCATTGGAGGAGATAATCTAGGAGTTGATGTAAGGAGAGAAGAAGGTAGTGAACCCAATTGCTTAAGGAATCCTTCTGGAAGAGTCTAGTGTTCGGTGGGTGTCCAAAGTCGATCCCAGTCTAGATCCCTTTCCTCCATTAAGTACCATTCTCCAAACATGAGCTGTCAGTCAGGTAGACATGCCATCAGTGGGGAAAAACAAAAGCAGATTCTTTGAGAAGTCTATAGTAGATCAAGAAGCAGAAGGGTATCGAGGGTCTTGGAATAGGACAATGTCGCGTCCTCTGTATCACCACAAAGATACGAGGACTTTGAGGAGGTGAACGCCATGTGGAACTTTAGCAGCATGCTGGGCATCACATTTCGAGTGGCGGGGAAAAGCTTTAGTCAACAAGGTGGCTAGGATGGGGAAAGATAGGGGGCTGGGGGGGGGGATAATTCCCCAGTTATTGACAGGTATTTATAATATCTTATTATGTCTTAGTTTTCAGTGGTATCGTGGAATGCATGGGGTATGGGTAGGAAGGAAAAAGCTAGAGCTGTGAGAAGAATGGTTGCAGGGAAGAAACCATCATTTGTATTCCTCCAGGAAACAAAATTAGAATCAATTAGCTCTATATTGCTGAGAAGGTTAGGTGGAAAGTTTCTTCAAGGCATCGTTGTATCTCCCTCGGAGGGTGTTGTGGGGGGGGGGTGTTAAGAATGTGGGATGAACTCGGCTGTCTCAGTTGGTTGTTTGGTTGGTGTTTTCCCATTGAAGTATCTCGGCCTCCCCCTTGGGGCCAAAAAGAACTCGGCTTCTTTATGAGATTTCATTATACAAAGGTTTCACAAGAAACTAACTTGTTGGAAAGCAACATCCCTTTCTCTAGCTGGGAGAGTGGTGCTCGTTAAATCGGTTCTTAGCTCTTTACCGATTTTTTTTTATCAATTTTCAGAGCGCCTTCATGTGTCTTGAAGAACCTAAATTCTATAATGGCCAAGTTTTTATGGGGTGATACAGTTGAGAAAAAGAGGATTCATTGGGTCAATTGGTCGACTGTATGTCAACCCAAGGATTTGGTGGGCTGCTTCGAGACTCGGGTGGTTCGCTGCTGGGTTCCTTTCCGGTTCATGTTGGACCTGGTCCACCCGGGCTGGCTAAATTGTTGGCTGTGAAAGCTGGTCTGATTTCCTTTGTTGAGTCGGCTTGGGGGTCTAAGGGGAGACTGATTCTAGAGCATGATTGTGCTAACGCTTTTATTGGATAAAAAACCCGGGATCTTGTCCAACCCTCTTTGCAGGTCTAATGAAAGAGATTGCTGCATTAGTTTTGGATCGAAATGTTATTGTAAAATACATTCAAAGATGTTCTAATTGGGAGGCGGGTGAACTAGCAAAATTAGGGATTGGTTGATTATTCTCCTTTTGGTTTTTTGTTTTGTATGTTGATCCTAGTTTGGATTAGTTGTGTGGGAATCCTTCCCTAGTTAGGTTCCTTGTTCCCCATTGTACCCTTGTGCAGTTTTTTAAATAAAAATCGAGGTACACTTTTCCTCCTTCCAATGTCTGTCGAGATACTAATAGTATCTTCATGGTTATGAAAGGGGTTTTTAATTAGACCTCCCATTCTTATAAAAAAATATCTCCTTTGTTCCATAAGGCTCCGTTTGGTTCTAAGAAATCGAGCTCATTTTCATTTTTCTTGGAAAATGGAAATTCTAAAGAAAACGTGTTTGATTGAAAATTTTAAAGTGTTTTGGAAATCGAAAATGTCTGAAAAATATAGAAAAAATAGTTGGTTTCATTATTTTTACAAAATGATGCTTGGAAAAATTGGAAAAGTTGAAATCAAGAGTTTTTTTAACTCTAAATTATAAAAAATAGGTGGTTTAATCCCATAAAAACTCAAAAAATATTTTTTAACAACTTTTTAAATATCAAATCTCCGACCTTGATTTGTGTCCGTATTAATGTAGAATGTAGGATGTTTTTATTTTATTTCTCATATTTCTGTTTTGAAAAAATAGGTACGAAACGTATTGCCATATTTTCATTATTAAACAATTTTTTGTTTCTATTTATGAAACATGTTTTTCAATTTTCAAAGTATACCCGAGGGGAAATGGTGTTGTGGCTGGAAAAATAGCAATTATCCTTGGCAATTGATATTTATCTTTGATTTTACTAAAGTTTTGAATACTGAAGTTTGATATTTAAGTACTTATGTTTTTCTGAAGCCTTTTCTTGGTAATAAAAATTCTATAAGTTCATATTTAGCGGATGAATTTATAAGCTTCTCTTACCATCTTCCTCTTCCTATTTACCAAAAATGTGTTGTCCTTTACCCAGCCATGTAGTTATGAAATAAATGATCCTTGGCTCCTTTTTGGCTTTATCTTATCTTTCATCTGTTTTTATTACTACTTTTCTCACCCTTCTATTTTGTTGTTTTTAACTTTCCTGGCCCAATTTATGGTAATTTGCAGGTATCAGTATGATCCTAGCTCCCCTGGAGCGGCTTCTCAGTTACGTTTCACCTCCACCAGGGATCTCAACTTGAATATCTCAGTGTCCAATGCTAATATGATTATTCAAGCTTATGCAAGCTGGAATAATCTTGGTGATATTCATCAATATTATAAAAGACCAGTAAGTTTTTGCTATTTTTTGGAATGTTCTGATAATACACTATTTTTTAGTGCTTGATATCTATATCGCGCTGATATGAATGCTCTTTTCTTATCTTCTATTGTTTTCAGTTTTGAAAATTTTCTTTTATATTGAATTTTGGATTTGAAAGTTTCTTCTTTACATTACTTTAAATAGGAAGCACGTTTTCCAACCTCTGCAACAAGATCGATTGTTAATATTCACCAAAAAAGAAGTTATTACATCGTCCCACAGAATAAACTTGGTCAGGATATTTTTGTTCGTGCCATGGAGAGGAAAGGTTTCTCGGATATTACTATGATGCCGGCTGGTGATACGAAGCCTATAAAAGTTCCTGCTTCAGAAATATGCCGGACTCTCACTTGAAAGGAAAGCTGTGCAGGAAAATAAGAACAATGGTAACAATCATTATAGCAGATGCAATGGTATAGTCTTTTGATCTCTTTCAATCTATTGATGGAGACTATGACTTTCTTTGTTCTTGTTACAAACTTTGTGATTTATGTATGAGCTAATGTAAAGAAGGAAAATGTTTACAAATATAAATCAGTGTTCAATTGAAATTTCATTTTTCCTATTATTTTGGTTAACTTTGTTGAGAATGTTATTGGATTGCTTTTGCAATTTTAGAAGTTACAAATAAAAATTACGATGATTGAACCTGAAGGCATACTTGGTTATTTTTGAATTGATTTTAAAAGTTATGAAGTTCTAGATTCTGGGATATCGTGGCAAGTTATAGAAATTTGACTGTGAAACAGTTTTCAGTTCACTTATGTTCCATTTCACTTTCTATTCCTATTAGCTATAATGTGACAAATACTTTGATCATTTTCATGGTCTGTTGGCACGCTTTTGATGAAGTTACCCAGAGTTGAGGGATTGAGTTCTCATCAGTATACTGTGGCTGTTCGCCTTTCTCCAAGCCATAGCCTTCCAAGTGAATCACTGCATCACCAACAAAGTGCACGGACATGTGGACGCATCTCAAGTAACATGTCTTCTGATATTGAATTGGTTGACTGGAGTGAAATATTTTTCTTTATAGTTGACTCCCCAGTACGTATGAATAATCTTCATCTTTCTTTAATGGACCCTGTGCATTTGTAATGTGGCTTCTCCTTTTCTGCATATTCCCTTATTATAATGTTGATTTTTCACAGGACTCGTATACAGTGGAGCTAATTGTTGCTGATGTAGGAAAAGGTATTAGATATATATGCCAACCTATTCATTCTGCAGGCGACAACTTAACTTGGATATGTATATATGATATTCCAAATCATTAAGCTGTTAAACACAACTCTTAAACAATTTTAATGTTGTTGCATTTGTTGTATCGCTGAGAGAACGATCAGAAATGTGATAAGGGGACAAAGGATATGAGAATATGTGGTAAATTTAATAGTTATACAACTAGCATCAGGACTTCTTTAGGTTACTATCTCAAGCTTATGAATTGTGCACCAAATAGACGTTCTATGACTGCAGGAACTTGTTTTGTGTATTATAATACATATACAATAAAATAAAATAAAAAAGATTGTATATATTCTAATAACGTTGATATATGACACTTTTGGATAAAAAATAACCTGTTTTCCTGACCCAAGGTAATTATGATTTTGAATCGAAGTGACATGCTAGCATCAAAGGGAATGAAAATATTTAACTGTTGGGGTTTTGATAAAGATAACAGTAAGTCCATTTACAGTAAATGAAGGGGTTTTTTTAATGGGGCCTTCCTTTTTATCAAAAAAAAAAAAAGCAACTCAAGTAGTATCTTTTTTGTAGTCTAGAATAAAAGAGGAACTCTAGGAACCAGATAATCTCCTACTTTACATACCTTCATTGCTGAATCCACAAGTTCTTTTACAGGTGATGCTATTGGATTTTTCTCAGCTCCTCTGAATCAGATAGCCATGCATACTCCCGATGGTTCGCATGATTACTCCAATTCCTTAATGTGGATGGACTTATCCTTGCCAGTTTCTACTGTAAATGTAATTCTCTTATTTTAAAACTTGTTGAGATAATCTTTATATATATATATATGTGTGTGTGTGTGTGTGTAACTTGGTACTTGAGATCACTAATCCAAGGTTTTAAGAGGAAATATTTTCAAGGGATTCCAACAGCTGTGATACCTAAATGGACTATTTCTTGTAGAATACCACTCAAGTAGATGGGAGCAGGAAACATTCAAGTGGGAGATTGAGATGTGCTGTAATTTTGTCATCAAAATCTGATGTTGATGAGACAAGTGAGCCCTTTGTCGGTGGCAGAAAATTCGGATTCATTCAGATAAGCCCTAGCATGGGAGGACCTTGGACTACTGTGCAACTCAACTATGCGGCACCACTGCTTGTTGGCGCTTAGGCAATGATGTTGTGGTTGGTGAAGTTAGTGTGAAGGATGGCAACAGATATGTAAATATTAGGTCACTGGTTTCTGTGCATAATAACACAGATTTCATTCTTGATTTATGTCTTGTACCAAAGTCTTCCACTCAGATTATGGAGCAGCCTACTGATTTAAGAATACCTGAAGGTGCTCAACTTGATTGTAGCAGAATTCAGACAGATGAGTTCTTTGAAACTGAAACTTATGATCCAAATATTGGGTGGGTGGGTTGTAATGTTCAACTGAATCAAGATCAGCCCTATTGCGGAGGCTCCCAGAAGGTAAGCTAATTAGTAATTTCTTAGCTGTAAGTAACTCATTTTTTAGCATAACTAGTTTTTCTTGCTGCCTTATCTAAATCACATGTTAACATGCTCATTATTTTAACATGAAGTTTTTGTTTGAAGAACCTCTAGCTATGGTAGTATTTTGAATTATGGGAATTATGCCTCCTTTATCATTTTCCTACATCAGCAATGAACATTGTTTCCATTGCAGTACTCCAGAAATTTGTCTTTCGAAAAATGATCACTTGATATATATTCATCTTATTTTACTTGTATTGCTTTTGTCTCTAATTCTACGAACATGCAATACATTTTTCCCCTTCCACTTGATTGCATTTGTCCCGGATAATAAGGTTACTTAATACCTGACAATACGTAAATATGATATCTGTATAACTTTTTGATACTGGAGTAGTCTTTATATTTATATTGCTGCACATCTTTCATAATTACATGCTTTAAAGCCTGTTCTTGTTCTAGGGTCTATAGAAATGTATTTTGATATTTCAGGACCTACTTATCCTATCAAGAAGGGGTTTTTTAATGAGGCCTTCAATTTCTATAAAAAAAAGGACCTACTTATCCTTTAAGATGAGGTCTAATTTGGTTTTTGACTCCTCCCCAACCTTGCAGGAAACTTTTGGTGTCAAGTTACCATCGGGTTGGGATTGGCTAGATGATTGGCATTTGGATACACCATCTGCTAGTACTGCTGGTGGATGGGTTCATGCTCCAGATGTAGAAAGCCTAAAATGGCCCGGGTCTGATGACTCCCCAATATCTTTGAATTCTGCGAGGCAAAGGAAATGGATAAGGAATAGGAAACAAATATCACTTCACACAACCAATGAGATACTTTTGGGCCAATTGAAACCTGGAGATACAGTACCTCTTCCCTTATCCGCCTTAAATCAGTCTAGACCATTTGTTTTCCAGTTGCGACCTTCAGAATTTGATGGTTCTAACAAGTATTCTTGGAGCTCTGTAGTTGAAAAGCCTGGTCAACGGGAGGTTTCTGAAAAAGCTAAGGGCACTTCTGGGATATATGTATCAGCTCTCACCGAGTCTGAGGAATTGCTATGCTGCAACCAGCTAATTGAGACCTCTTCTAATGCCTCTGCACATAAACTATGGTTTTGCTTAGGCATACAAGCAACAGAGATATCAAAAGACATCCGTTCCGATTCTATCATGGACTGGAGTCTTGTGGTCAAATCCCCATTGTCTATCTCCAATTATCTTCCTCTTACTGCTGAATATTCTATCCTTGAGATGCAACCTAGTGGTCATTTCATTGCCTGCTCCAGAGGAATATTTCACCCTGGAAGAACTGTAAATATTTACAATGCTGATATACGTAATCCTTTGTTCTTCACACTACTTCCACAGAGAGGATGGATGACATTAAATGTGAGTTTAGGAAAATCCAATAGTTTTTGTTTATAATGCATGTAAAGGTGCCCATCAAGTCTGTCTATTCTGTCGTACTCTGTTGTCTATTTTCTCTTTTAACTTCTACTGATTTACAGGAAGCTGTTCTGATATCTCATCCTTGTGAAATTCCATCCAAATCAATAAGCTTAAGAAGTTCAATTTCTGGAAGGTTTATTATATGCTGGATTACCCTAAAAAATTGAATTCTCTTGAATATGTTAAATCAAAATCTTCCCCGATCTAATGCCTTCAATATTTGTGGTATATGCAGGATAGTTCAACTCATTATTGAGCATAATTCTGACAAGGAACAAACAATTTTGTCAAAAATAATCAGAGTCTATGCTCCTTACTGGTTTTCAGTTTCCAGATGTCCGCCACTTACATACCGGCTTGTTGATATGGGAGGGAAGAAACGCACAAGAAAGATTGAGTTCCCATTTCGTGCTAAAAAGAAAATACAGGAATCATTGAGGAAATAACTGATGAGGAAATGTATAGTGGTCACACAATTGCCTCATCATTGAACTTTAATTTGTTTGGTCTGTGTGTAGCAATTACGGAGTCTAGCAATGAGCACTTCGGGACCGCTAAAGATCTTTCTCCCCTTGTGGACATGGTAGATCAAATATTAACTGTAATTAGAAGCCATATCTTAAAAGAATTTTTTTGTTTAGCACTTCCTTTTTCCCGACTCTGCAGGATGGCTCTGTGGATCTCTATGCTTATAATGCTGATGGAAAATGTATGCACCTTTTTGTTTCTGCAAAGCCCTGCCCCTATCAATCTGTCCCTACAAAGGTAGAAATATTACTCAGTGCTCTAAAAATGTATGTGTTACCAGGAATACAAGAAATTCATTCAATCAAATTTTTGTAGGTGATTACTGTCCGGCCATACATGACCTTTACAAACAGACTCGGTCGGGACATATACATTAAGTTAAGCAGTGAAGATGAATCTAATATTCTCCGCGCATCTGATACAAGAATCTCCTTTGTACATTGTGAGAACGATGGGACAGATAAACTTCAGGTTAGTGGATGCCTAAAACCTCACTTCCCGTGTTTGTAAACTATCCACGTCTTGGTGGTGTGCCGTGATATTATGGGATAATACTTATGCCTATCTCATTTCATGTTTACCTACACAGGCCTATATTGCAATTTTGTTTTACGTTATGATTTTTTTATAAGAAATGGGCCTCGTTAAACCCCCTTCATAACCGTCGAGCTATATATCTCTCAACGGACATTGGAAGGAGGAAAAGAGTGCCCAAAAATTTTATTTCTAAAACATAGTACAAACAAGGTAAAACCATTTCAAGTACAAACCATCCTCACAAAACACCCAAAACGCTCAACCTCCCCCCATCCATAACTTCCCACATTACCCTATGCCCGACTTAGCTAAACTATCTGCTTCACAATTAAAACACTTATAGATATGCCTAATAGTCACATTATAATTCATCACGTGCTTGGCGATTTCCTTCACCATATGAACAAAAGAAGTCGGGCTTGCCTCCGGGTTTTTAATCCACATCAAAGCAATAGAAGAATCACTTTCTACAATAAGACGCCCCTTGTCGCTCCACTCCGAATCCAAGAAAAGACTCAACCCATATTGAATTGCTTTTAACTCGACAAGAATCGGGAGGGCCTAGACCGGTCGCTTCCGAGAAATACCCCAACTGCTTATGATCAACATCCCTAAGCAATCCACTGATACCACTACGCCTCCAGTCACTACTTACAGCCCCATCCACATTCACTTTAAAGAAAACCCCGAGGAGGGAGGCACAAACCATAAGTCTTGGAAACTTTCTTCATCGGAGAAAAGTGCAAATCAGCCAAAGTTAAGTCTCCCACAAGACAATCTAGTGAAACAAAGAAATTCAAATTCTTCACCGAGAACTAAGCAGCCACCCTGTACCTGGCCAAAAGAAAAGAAGAGTTTGATCCAACCTTCCATTCTCAAACACCATTTGATTTCGACATTTAGAGGAGCAATTCCAACCCAAACCAGCTTCGACGAAGATAAATCCGGAACGGACAAGTTTGATACTAAACTAATGCACGATTTAACCGAATATACACCCACCTGTTCCCCTTCCAGACACAACAATCATCATCCTCCGATCCAAGACTAACACTATCCAACATTGACAATAGCTCCATCCATTGTTTAACTTCCCAATCCAGCATATTTCGCCTCATTTGGATATCTCAGAACCAATTCCCATTGTTTAGACAACCATAATCCTCAATGACCCCATCTTGATTTACTAACAGAGTGAAAAGTCTTGGGAATTTTCCCTTCAATGGAATGTTGCATATCCATGTATCGTGCCAAAATAGAATGGAATTTCTCTTCCCCACTTGCAAAATAAGATGATTGTGGAAGCAAAGGCCAAAAGCATCGTTCGACCAATGATTATTAATTACTTTTTTCCAAAGCCAAGAAGAAATGGAAGGTAGATTCTTATCCAGCAAAATCGACCTTCTATCTACGCTGTACTTACAGCACACCATCCGCTTCCACCAAGACTCCTTTTCACTATTGAACTTGAAGGCCCATTTCCCTAAGAGGGCCCTATTCATCAGATTTAAATCCGTGATACCCAAACCCCCCATAATCCTTTTGTTTGCATATTGTCGACTAATTCACCCAATGGGTTCGATTTCTCTAAGCCGAGCTCCCCCACAAAAAGTTAGCCATTAGTGAATCCAACTTCTTTCGAACACCAGATGACATCCTGAACAAAGACATATTTAGAACAGACTTTCCTAAAACAGCCCTCCCCGCAAGAGATAACATAGATGTTTTCCACCCAGCTAGCTTCTGAAAAAATTTCTTAAGAATCGGCTCCCATAAAGCTACCGAGTTTCGCCTGGAACCCATGGGAAGCCCAAGATACTCCGACGGAAAAACACCAAACATACACCCAATTGAATTTGCCCATTCTTTGACTGTTGATTCTTCCATATTAATACCATATATCTTACTCTTCGACATATTTAATTGCAGCTGTGTATACATCTCAAAGACAACCAAAATCTTCAATATTCTTCATGTAACACCCCCAACCCGTACCCGACCCGGATACGAATCCGAGATGTCACATTACCTTTTTCAAACATTACTCTTAACAAATAATAGCAAAATACTTAAAATTATATTAAGAAAATACGATAATATACATATTAATACAAGTTTACCAAAATACTCAGAGCATACACAACTTAACCCTTTAGTTACACGCCAACACCCATTTACATAACAAAATGACCTACTGATTAGGTTGTTCTGATCTGATAGTTGCATGAGTAATGTTGTCAGCTGCTTAACATGTATCTTCTACTTTCTCGGATCCTACGCGTGAAACACTCACACGCTAAGTCATCGACTTAGTGAGGCAATGTAATAATAATAGCAAGGAACTGGATGAAGATGCCATAATGATATGAAATGAGATGAAATCGTATACTTAATCAATGTAGTTTATATCACCATGATCCTTACCCTAAGCATATTACATTAGCATTCACGAATTTGTATTAAGAAGATTATTGACCCCTGATACCATACTGAGAACCTAAGGTACTGAGTATTGCGAGTTTGTGCACTATGTTGTCACCACAGCTCGTATAAATTGCACCGAAGTGTCGCGTAGAACTTTGTCCCGAAGGATCGCGTAGAATTTGTCCCGAAGGACCACATATAAATTCCTTAAGAATCATATACATATGCCAAGGATCAATTATGTGTCTCAAAAGAACTCACAAATGTTCCAAAGAATATATATATATATCCCGAATGACCGCGTAGACCCTCTACCCTTGGCATGCCAATTATACCTATAGTTCTCATCTACAGAACATGGGCTTTTACAATTCACATAATTTATATCGCATAGACATATCATTTTCATACCTTTATCACATAAACATTTCATTTTCCATACCTTTATCACATAATTCATATAACTTTTCCTGCATATTCATGTCACATAATGAATATAATATGAATTCATGTCAAGTATCATAATATGGAATGTGATCATGTATCAAATATTGAATCTAGACTTATCACAAGTCTAGAACTGAATATAATACTATATTCATGCTATGCATATGCACTCACCTATATTTCCTTTTTTTCCTCGATCGATCTTACTTGTCGATTGTTCCAGAACTCGATTAGGCTCAATATCTACATAAACATAATTTTCAATATGATTATCAGATGCCTAAGTCTTAAAATTAACTTCTAATAGCCTAAGCAAATTTAAGGAATTGATTTTTATTTTTTTTCTTTAGGGGGGAATCGGTTCCCTACTGTGGGGGTATCGATTCCCCTCTGGCATTGTGGAATTTCATATTCGTTTGAGGGGGTATCGATTCCCCTTGAATGAGTACCGATTCCCCTGGCCCAGAAATCCTATTTTGAGCTCGAAAATCATCTCATTTAAGCTCAAACCTTCCTATTTTACTCCCTTTAATATACCTAACTTTCATACTCTTACTTAAACTAATTATTATCCATTCAATACCTCTAAAACATAAAAAAACCAATCCTCCATATAGAATTTAAGAATCTTGCTCAAATTCCAACTTGTTCTAATTTTAATTCTATCACCTCATACTTCTTAATTAGCTTGATGACAAGTCAAATCCAGCTTCTAATTCTTATTATGACCTTTAATCCAAGATTTCATTCAATGGCTCCCAACCTTTAATCTCTCTTAACTTAGAATTCTTTGAGTTTCTAAGTCCTTGTTTCTCTCCATCATCTTTCCTAAATCTTCATTAACCAAAACCATGCTTAACTCATAAGAATTAATCCAAAAGAAGACAACTCACCTTTGCTTGCAAGCTTCACGGTTGGAGAAGAAGAAGAGAGAAATATATGGAACCTTGTGTAGAAATTAGAGGAATACCTTTTTTTTATTTCTTTTTCAATAATCAAACAGGTTACACATCCCCTAAATATATACATGCTGAAACACCTAATTTCTAGGGATATATACAACTTACCTAGAATAGGATCAAATCTTATCTAAAACAGAAAGAAATAAACAGGAAATAAATATATAAGGATATGGTAACAAGCTACCAGAATCCCTTAATATATGGAACTGAATATTGATCTGTTTGACTCTAGATTTCCTTAATTTCGGCCCTCTAACATGCAGACAGATATGCATTCAAACTACTACAAATAATTCTACACTCCCCCTTAAGCTGGATGGTAAATGTTAATTAACCCCAGCTTGGAACTTAGATCATCAAAAGTCTTTCTTGGTAGAGCCTTAGTAAGAATGTCGGCTGTTTGAAGACATGTGGGTACATATAGCATTTTGATCATCCCTTCCTCTATCTTCTCCTTTATGAAGTGCCGATCAATCTCCACATGCTTAGTTCTGTCATGATGGACTGGATTCTTGGCAATGCTGATTGCTGATTGGTTATCACAGAACATCTTCATAGGTTCTCCACTAGAAATTCTTAATTCCTCTAGTACCCTTCTTAGCCATATTCCCTCACAAATACCATGGGCCATTGCCCAAAATTCAGCTTCTGCACTGCTCCTTGACACCACTGATTGCTTCTTACTTCTCCATGTGACTAGATTTCCCCACACATAAGTACAATACCCTGAAGTTGATCTTCGGTCTTGTATTGATCCTGCCCAATCTGCATCACTGAACACCTCTCTGTCTCTTCTTTGATTCTTCTCAAAAATAATCCTTTCCCTGGTGTTAGCTTCAGATACCTTAGAATTCTATACACCGCCTCCATATGTTCTTCATTTGGATTGTTCATAAACTGACTTACCATGCTGACTGAAAAACCAATGTCTGGTCGTGTGTGAGAAAGGTAGATAAGTTTACCTACTAGCCTTTGGTATCTGCCTTTATCCACCAGTGCTCAATTTTCTTTAGTGCCTAATTTTGTTGTTGAATCCATAGGTGTGTCCGCTGGCTTACATCCAAGCATCCCAGTTTCTTTTAAAAGATCCAGTACGTATTTTCTTTGGGAAACACAGATTCCTTTTCTTGACCTTGTAATTTCCATTCCTAGGAAGTATTTGAGCTGTCCAAGGTCCTTGATTTCAAATTCCTTAGCTAGAAGACCTTTGGTAGTGTTGATTTCTTCCTCATAATCTCCTGTTAGGATAATGTCATCCACATATACAATGAGGATAGCCAGTTTTCCTGCAAATGAGTGTTTGACAAACAAGGTGTGATCTGATTGACATTGAGAATAGCCATGATTCTTTATTACCTTGGTAAATTTCTCAAACCAAGCTCTTGGTGATTGCTTGAGCCCGTATAATGATCTTTTAAGTTTGCAAACTTTTTGTCAGTTTTCGGTGTCTCAAATCCTGGAGGGATTTCCATGTAAACTTCCTCAGCTAAGTCCCCATTTAGAAAAGCATTCTTGACATCTAGTTGGTGAAGGGGCCAATCAAGATTTGCAGCTAGTGATAGGAGAACCCGAACTGTGTTTAACTTGGCTACTGGGGCAAATGTTTCTTCATAGTCGATTCCATATGATTGAGTGAATCCCTTTGCCACTAGCCGTGCCTTGAAACGATTAACACTTCCATCTTCATTGTACTTGATTGAGAATATCCATTTGCATCCTACTGGCCTTTTTCCCGATGGTAATTTTGATATTTCCCAAGTGCCATTCTTTTTCGGTGCATTTATTTCTTCAAGCACAGTAGCTTTCCACTCAGGAGATCCAAGAGCTTCTTGTATGTTATTTGGGACCTGAGTGCTGTCGAGGTTGGCAACAAACGACTTGAATTTTGGTGACAGGCCTTCATATGATATAAAGGTGTATATAGGATGTTTTGTGCAAGTTCTAACCCCTTTCCTCACGGCAATAGGATAGTCACTGTCATCACCAGTTAGTTTACTCTGTGAGGGCTCAGGATTAGGATTACCTAAAGGATCTTCACAAGATCTTGGACCAGGATCAGATTCTTGGTTTTGCTGCAGAGGTGCTGGATCTTCACAAGATCTTGGACTAGGATCAGATTCTTGGTTTTGCTGCAGAGGTGCTGAAGGTTCCATCTCCTTTTGGTTCTTTCTCCTCCGTGAATAGGTAATCAACTCTTTATTAGTTGTTGATTACTAATGTCCAGATTTTGGTATGAAGATTCTAGGGAGAGATGTGTTGAGGAGAAATAGAGTTAGAATTTGGAGAGAGCTGAACTGATTCATCAATATCCCAAATTTGATATTCCTGGGTAAAATTGGTCTTCCCCCTGAATATCAGATTTGGGGTAGTAGGGCTGGTGCTCAAAAAATGTAACATCCATGGAGTGGTAGTACTGTTTAGTGACCGGTGAGTAGCACTTATACCCCTTTTGAGTTGGAGAGTACCCAAGGAAGATACACTTAAGTGCTCTAGGATCAAATTTATCCCTTTTATGTTGATGGACATGAACAAAGGCTGAACACCCGAAAACCTTGAAGGGAATAGTGTTGATGAGACGTGTATTTGGGAAAAACTGAAGTAAGGTTTGACAAGGACTTTGAAAGTTGAGAATCCTAGATGGCATCCGTTTATGAGGTATGCTGCAGTGAGAATAGCTTCACCCCAGAAATGTTTCGGTACATGAGTAGAAAACATAAGAGATCTTGCAACATCTAGAAGGTGCCGATTTTTCCTTTCAGCAATTCCATTTTGCTGAGGGGTGTTGACACATGAGCTTTGATGAATGATGCCATGACTCAGAGATAATCATTGAGTATGAATTTGAAGTATTCTTTGGCATTGTCAGTTTTCAGAATTTGGATTTTGGCTTGGAATTGAGTTTGTATCATGGTGTTGAAGTTTTTGAAAATCTGACCTGCCTCTGATTTTTCTTTCATGAGAAAGACCCATGTAAGCCGAGTGTGATCATCAATAAATGTAATGAACCAACGGGAACCAGTCACATTTTTTAGTTTAGATGGCCCCCAAACATCACTGTGAATCATTGAAAAAGGATGGGATTCTTTGTAAGATTGGTTGGGATAAGAATTACGGACATGTTTAGAGAATTGACAAATTTCACACTTGAACTCATTTGGATTTTTATTATGAAATAGAGAAGGAAACAGCTTCTCAAGATACAAGAAATTCGGATGGCCTAATCTATAGTGCCATAACATGATTGCACTATCATTATTAGAACAACTGACAGAAAAAGAAGTAGGATTACCAGACACTAGACAATCGGACTGATAAGTTGTGCCTTGAGGAGGATTTGTAACCTCGAGAAGATAGAGTCCCGAGCACATTTTAGCACTGCCAATCGTCTTCCCCGAGTCCAAGACCTGAAATTCACACATGGTTGAACCAAATTTAGTCACACAATTCAGGTCTCGAGTAAGTTTACTAATGGACAGTAAATTGCAATTCAAATTTGGCACAAGGACTGATTCAAGTGTAATATTCTCTGATACTTTAATAGAACCTGTACCAACCACTTTTGAGAGTGAACCATCGGCTATTCTGACCGTTAAGTGTTTATCACATGGACTGTAAGTAGAAAATAGGTCCTCATTTCCAGTCATATGGTCTGAAGCTCCAGAATCTATAATCCATGGATTTGACGTCTCTTTTTTAACACTGAGAGCGCTTAAAAAATTACCTTTTTGGGCTAAGGACCCAGTACCAACCACAGTGGAGGTTTGGGCATGCAAAGACTGGTTGAACAGATTCTGTAGAACCTCTAATTGTTCCTTGCTGAATGGAGTGGGTTCAGGTGAAGGTTTGTCATCCATTGAGGCAAAATTGCCTCGCCCTTCTTTGTCGTTGGCAGACCGAGAAGACTTCCAATCTGCTGGCTTACCATGAATTTTCCAGCAAGTGTCCCTGGTGTGACCAGGTCGGCGGCAGTGATCACACCAAGGGCGTCCTTTCTTTGGTTTGGGGTCGTTGTAGGAGTTCCCTCTAACAGCAAGGGCTGAGCTCTCAAGACTTGTCATTGGTTCTTGAGAGCCCATCATGATTTTCTTTCGACTCTCCTCTCTCCGGACTTCAGAAAAAGCCTCCCGGATATTAAGTAGAGGTTTGGATCCCAAGATTCTTCCTCTTACTTCATCTAGATTTTTATTTAATCCAATCAGAAACTTATATATTCTCTTCCGTTCAATGATCTGTCTATACCTGATTCCATCATCTAGGCAGCTCCAATTGTGCTCCTCGAACAAGTCCAGCTATTGCCAATAGCGGTTGAGTGTATTGAAGTACTGGGTTACTGTTAAATCTCCTTGACGGAAGTCATGGAGAACACTCTCCACTTCAAACAACTCAGATGTATTCTCATTGTTGGAATACGTTTCCTTTGCAGCCTCCCAGATTTCCCTTGCTGTTCTGTAGAGTAGAAAGTTCTCTCCGATTTCATTTGTCATGGAATTGATGAGCCATGACATGACCATATTATTCTCGGAATTCCAGATTTTGAACTTCTCATCATCCTGGCTTGGCTTGGCAGCCACTCCTTTGAGATAATCATCCTTTCCTCTTCCGCATATGAACATCATAACAGAGTGGGACCATTGGAGATAGTTGTTCCCATTCAGTTTGTGTCCTGTAATGGGCATGGGATTGCTATCTCCACTACTGTTACTGGAGGCCATGGCTACCCGTATTTGGTTATATGAGGGATTTAGGGTTCAGAGAATGCTCTGACACCATGTAGAAATTAGAGGAATACCTTTTTTTTATTTCTTTTTCAATAATCAAACAGGTTACACATCCCCTAAATATATACATGCTGAAACACCTAATTTCTAGGGATATATACAACTTACCTAGAATAGGATCAAATCTTATCTAAAACAGAAAGAAATAAACAGGAAATAAATATATAAGGATATAGTAACAAGCTACTAGAATCCCTTAATATATGGAACTGAATATTGATCTGTTTGACTCTAGATTTCCTTAATTTCGGCCCTCTAACATGCAGACAGATATGCATTCAAACTAAACTCCAAATAATTCTACACCTTGTTTTCTCTCAAATGCTTTCCACATGGTTTATAAATAACCTTAAGGAATATTTAATTATTTCTCTTACTAAAAGACTCCTTTGCCCTCTTAATTTTCCTTCTTTGCTTATCCATCCTACATGAAACATTCCTATTAAATCTTTCAACCATTCAATTTATTTACTTTGGTCACTAAATTTTAAAATTTCCCAATTTGATCACTAACCCGGTATGGAGGACGTTACACTTCAATTAACCTTCTAAAGCGCTAAAAAAAATTATCAAATCGTCGGCGAATTGCAAATGAGAGAGCGAGAAAGACCTATCATCGCAACCGATCTAAAATCCATTAAACAAACCCAACTTTACTGCCTGGACAGTAAAAGGTTAAGCAGCTCTCCCACTAAATTAAATAACAGCGGTGATAATGAACACCCTTGGCATAATCCCCGAGATATGTTGAAGCTTTCTGTTGGAGAACCATTTACTAATACCGAAATGGATGTTGAGGATAAGCACTTCAAAATCCAAGACCGCCATCTCTGCCCAAATCCATGTACTCCATAATTTTTTTTTTTTGATAAGAATTTCAGGCCTCGTTAAAAACCCATGTACTCCATAATTTTGATCAAGACATCCCAATCAACTGATTCGTATGCTCTTCTGAAATCTACTTTAAACACAATACCTTTCCTCCTCCACTAGCCGATGCCTTCATTTGCTTTTATGATTTTCAAAATGATCTATAGTTTTGCCTACTTGGTTTTTAAAACTATTTATTGTTATGGTTTTCAGGATTGTTGTTTTTCTTCATTTTTGCACTCTATGATGCATCAAATTTATCTTCCTTATTGTGTTGATTCATTTGAAATCTCCAGATAAGACTAGAAGATACAGATTGGTCATTTCCTGTTCAAATAGTGAAAGAGGATACTATCTCATTGGTTTTGAGGGGACATGGTGGTACAAGGACTTTTTTGAATGTAGAAATACGTGGCTATGAAGAAGGATCACGTTTTATAGTTGTATTCCGCCTTGGATCAACCAAAGGTCCTATCAGGCAAGTATACATTGTTTCCTAGATATAAATACTGATAGTTTGTGAGGCGATGCAAGTTTATGTTGGTGTTTATTGACTTGTCAAAACATGAATAAACAGGATTGAGAACAGAACCTTTGATAGAACAATAAGTATTTGCCAATCTGGATTTGGTGAGTATGCATGGATCAGTTTAGGAGCTCTTTCAACTACAATTTTTTCCTGGGAAGATCCATATGGAGAAAAGTTCATTGATGTTAAAATCAATGGAGATTGCAATAACCGAATCTGGAAAGTCAATTTGGAAAGTTTTGTGCAGTCTCCTACAGGTGAAGGAGATCTTGGAATGCAGTTGCATGTTTTTGAAATAGGTAATATAAAAGTTGTTAGATTTACTGATAATCGGACATGGAAGTTGAGTTCACATGGAGATAGGCCTCTGATGGCTGCTGGAAAGCCACAGGTTGATGTTACACCAATAGAAGTCATCATTGAATTGGGAGTTGTTGGGGTATCTCTTGTGGACCACATGCCAAGAGAGCTCTTTTACGTGTACCTTGACAGAGCCTTTATATCATATTCTACAGGCTATGATGGTGGAACCACCAGCAGGTAAGAGCTTCAATTTCAGATTTTGTTTGGCATGATATTGTAGTTTTCAGCTGTTTGGAAATTTTATTCTTGGCCATTGTAGTATAATGTTTCTGATGACACACAGCTTAGAATGTTCTGCTACCTGTTGAAAGTTATTTAAACACGTTGTGCTTTATGATCTAGTGACTTCTTTGAATTTTATCAGTTGCATTTAAAATTCCTATTGTGTGGTGTACTCTTGTTTCATAAATGGAAACGGTCTGTTGCTTAATATGAGATGACTTAAATTAACATCCTTTTCCTGAATTCCTTGGCTTTTTCATTCCTTCTTTGAAAATATTTTCATGTCTTGGATTTAAATATATATCTTCTATCTGTTATCTGTCTCGGTACTTCAGATGAATATGCTAAGAGATTCTATTTCTTTCCTCTAGGTTCAAGCTCATACTGGGACATTTGCAAATTGACAACCAGCTTCCTTTAACTTTGATGCCAGTGCTATTAGCACCTGAGCAGATGAGTGATATTCATCATCCCGTATTTAAGACGACTATTACAATGCGAAATGTGAACTCTGATGGAATTCAGGTGTATCCGTATGTCTATATACGGGTAAAGCTCTATCTGCATTATGCTTAGCATTTGGGTACACTGGGTTTCTTTAGACAATAGCGTAACTGATCATATTATGTTGATAGGTGACTGACAAGTCTTGGAGGCTTAATGTTCATGAACCGATCATCTGGGCATTAGTTGATTTCTATAACAATCTTCAGCTAGATCACATTCCCCAAAGTTCAAGCATCACTCAAGTTGACCCAGAGATACGTGTTGAGTAAGACTAATATTCAAATCTTTTCTCAGTTAGAAACTTGAAATGTTAATAGACTGAAGAGGATTTGAGTGCTACACTTGGGCATCAGCAATGTTGGCAAGGTCAATGCCTTGGTAGAATCTACGTATATGGCTGTTATTCATTATCACGGGGGAGGAAAATAGCATAAAGTTATTGATAGTGTTTATGATATTTTCATGTCAGTTTCTGTAACTCCTTTCCTCCTGTTGACTTTCCTCCGTCTGTTGGGCTATATGCTCCTAGATGGTGCATGCAAGTACACGTGCACATTACACTTGTATATGTTCTAATTCTACAGCCTACATATTTATCCACTTTTAAGACATACAAATTTTCTATATCCAAGTTGAGTTGACTTTGTTAACTATTTAAGTTATTCTTTTAGGGTCTTAGTGTTCTTGTTTTCAGTATCTTCCGATATTTTCGAAGCTAAGATTATGATATGAGTAATATTTTATGCACATATTTTCGAAACCCATTTCTGGCCAAAACCCATTTTCTCCACTTGAATTCCATGCGCACATATTGTTATATGAGTAATATTTTATGAAATGCTCGTTTACCATTACTAGAATTTCTCCTTCAATGAAAAGTGTTCTGAGAGCACTTATTTCAGTCAATAAAATATATCTTCATCATCAAATGCTTATTAGAAGAGAATATCATTTAGGAGTTTGAAGCTGAGTTGTAATGATTATTTTTCCCTCTTCTGAACTTTTCAGCCTGATAGATGTTTCGGAATTAAGGTTGAAAGTGTCTCTGGAGACAGCACCAGCTCAGAGACCTCAAGGGGTTCTTGGTGTGTGGAGTCCTATACTTTCTGCTATTGGAAATGCCTTCAAATTTCAGGTCAGAGAACATTTAATATTGCAATGACCCTTCCTGCTAAAACAGCATAGTTGAGTTCAGGAGAAAAGTCTACAGGCATTGCAAATATCAGGCTACTGACTGATTTTTTAATTTTAGGTGCATCTGAGGAGGGTAATACGGAAAGACAGATTCATGCGGAGAAGTTCCATACTTCCTGCAATTGGAAACCGTATTTGGAGAGATTTGATTCATAACCCTCTTCATTTGTTATTTTCAGTAGATGTACTTGGTATGACTAGTTCGACCTTGGCTTCTTTGAGTAAAGGATTTGCTGAGCTTTCAACTGATGGACAATTTCTCCAATTGCGCTCAAAGCAGGTAAGTCTGTCTCTTTCATTTTTTAAGCAAGTGGTTATTAAAAAAATTTGAGAACCTGATCCTAACTCAAGATTTTAGGTTTCATCAAGGAGAATCACTGGAGTACGAGATGGAATTGTTCAAGGAACAGAAGCCCTTGCACAGGGTGTTGCTTTTGGGGTGTCTGGAATTGTGAGAAAACCAGTGGAAAGTACCAGACAGGAGGGTTTTGTGGGATTTGCTCATGGAATTGGTCGTGCTTTCTTAGGATTTATTGTTCAACCAGTCAGTGGAGCATTAGATTTCTTCTCATTGACCGTTGATGGAATTGAAGCTAGTTGTTCCAAATGTTTGGAGGCTTTGACTAACAATAGCACCTTCCAGAGAATTAGAAACCCCCGAGCTATTCATGCTGATGGCATTCTTAGAGAGTACTCTGAGAAAGAAGCTACTGGTCAGGTATCTTGTAGCCTTTTTTGAGATGGAAAAGTGTTCCTGAGATGTTTCTTCTTAGAAAAAGCTATCATTTTACTTTTTGTCACTTTTGTAGTTAGGAATGAAATGTATGACCATGGACTGCCTAAACCTTAATTTGTCTCAACTAGTAAGCTTCCAAAGCAAAACCAATTGGTATTATATGGAAATACCCAACTGAGTCACTATATATATATTTTTTAAATGATATGATAACACCACTCCCGTCACATGTAAGCCAAATATTACCCTACCAACAAAAGCAAATAGGTCTCATGCATTGAGAGTAACAATGGAAAATTTGATACTTGACTGTTTTCTTGGTTTTGTTCCAGATGGTGCTCTATCTGGCAGAAGCAAGTCGACGTTTTGGGTGTACTGAGATATTTAAAGAGCCCTCTAAATTTGCTTGCTCTGATTATTACGAAGAGCATTTTATTGTACCATACCAAAAGATACTTCTAGTGACCAATAAACGAGTTATGCTATTGCAGGTGAGACAAGAGGACTTGGGCTAGGACTCGTAAGTAAATTTTCAGCTAATTTTCTTATGCTGTTTTTTTCTTGTTGTCCGCAGTGTTCATCTCTCGACAAGATGGACAAAAAACCTTGCAAGATCATATGGGACGTTCCATGGGAAGAACTCATGTCGCTGGAGTTGGCGAAAGCGGGCAGTCATATACCTTCTTGCTTACTCCTCCATCTTAAGAATTTTAGGAGATCAGAAGCTTTTGTTAGAGTCATAAAATGCAGTGTTGAAGAAGTTGAGGGAACAGAACCGCAAGCTGTTAAGATCTGCTCGGTAGTGCGTAAGATGTGGAGAGCACATCAATCTGACCCGAACAGCATTGTGCCAAAGGTTGGTACTTCGTATAAATCTGTACGCTTTAAAGATGTCATGTAAACAACACTAACAAGATTTTACTTGTGCAGGTTCCTTCAAGCCAGAGGCATCTGCATTTATCTTGGAGTGAGACTGATAAGAAAGCACCACATGCCCTGAAGAAATCCATCATTAAATCAGGAGAGCTTTCTGCATCAATTTCTGCATCTGATGGAACAAAATTTATTGAACACAGTGTAAACTTTCTGAAGATCTGGAGCAGCGAGAGAGAAGTGAACGGCCGATGTGCATTATGTAGAAAACAGGTGATGTATTCCTTGCCATTCTCTTCTTGTTTTACCGTAGATTACTTCATTCCACAATCTTAACATAGATAGTTTATTTTGTCTACTAGGTCGCCGATGATGGTGGAGTATGTAGCATTTGGAGGCCCATTTGTCCGGAAGGGTAATTACAAAGTTCTTTGATAACTCTTTTTGACTTGTCTTAGATTCTAACCACATTATAACTTAAAAGCTAAAAGCAGGTCATCATTATTGAAGATTTAGCTTTCAGAGAGTTGTAACAAGCTCACTCAATAACAGTGTACGAATTAATATATTTTATGAAATATGGAATACTTTTGATTCTCAAACCTTTTATCCTTATCATCACCTTAAGTCGTAATTGCTTATTTTGGCATTAATTTTGTTGTTGCATCATGGCTTTGTTTCTTTGATCTCACTTTTTATCCTAATCATCACCTTAAGTTGCCATGTGTTTTTTTCCTCCTTTTTACTTTTGCATTAAGTTTGGAATTGGATCATGATCTTCCCTTCAGGTATGTGTTCATTGGTGACATAGCTCGTGTCGGGAGCCATCCTCCTAACGTTGCTGCTGTTTACCGGAAAATTGACAATCTATTTGCGCTTCCTGTAGGTTATGACCTGGTAAGACAGAGCAAAGGCGTTGTGAAATTTTATCTCTATACCCATTTTGTCTATTACGGCTTGAAAGAGTAAATAAATATCCTAATTTGACTTAAGATTGCTAGCCAGTGTACCATTTGGAAAATGGAGTTCATATTGAGTCTCTGCAGGTATGGAGGAACTGTCTAGATGATTACACGACTCCGGTCTCGATCTGGTATCCACGGGCTCCTGCGGGGTTCATCTCTCCTGGGTGTGTTGTTGTGGCAGATTTCGCCGAGCCTGAAGCTGATTTGGTACATTGTGTGGCAGAAACACTTGGGGAGGAAACAACATTTGAGGAGCAAAAAGTTTGGTTCGCACCGGAATCATACCCGTGGGGTTGTCATGTGTATCAAGTCCAAAGTGACGCTCTTCATTTTGTTGCTCTAAGAGAAACTAAAGAAGAATCCGGGTGGAAGCCCACCAGGGTTCGTGATGATTTCCAGCCTTTGCAATCCGAGTAAAGACAGAAGGTGATGATGTCGAGCCAAAAACCAACAGGAGATGTGCCATGATTCATACAATTGTTTTTCCAGGCCTCTGAGAATATTAGAATCCGATAGATATGTTTGAATGGTCAATTCTTTGATTATCAACCCTACTGCTCTTTCTTATGCACGGAGTGAGATGGAAGAAGTAATTTTATTTTACTCCTACTTGGAAACAAATTCTTCCCAAGAATAAGCCAATATTTCATATATTTGCCCCCAAAATACCTATCCAGAGAGTTGAACAAGTCGGGTAAAACTGACCCTGACTTTCTCCATTAGCGGTTTAAGACTGTTTAATATGTTTCTCCTAATCATATTAATATCACGTGAATATTTTAGCGTCAACAGAAAAAATTAGTCAACTTTCGTATTAATATCGTAAATTGTCACGTTAACATTTTAACGGTCAACAAAAAAAATGTTTAAAAAATTGTATTGATTTTATTTTTTAATTGGGGGAGTCCGTGAAAAATAATTTAAAAAATAATTTTTAATTTCTCTTTCAAAGTTCAAAGCCCTTTTTACCTAATATTTCCTACTGAAGTGAGTCCGTGAACCGAGAAAATAGTAGTATATGATTAATTTAATGTAAAATTTTAGCTGCAATCAATTTTACTTTGTTTAGTTAGAAATAAATCTAATTAATTAATAAAAATTTATTATAAAATAATATAAGTTATACTATTTATACTTTAAATAATTCACATGTAATTGTAAATAAAATAATTAAATTAAGGAAATTTTACACAATATTTTGAATCTAAAGTTTTTTTTATTAATATAATAAATAATTTTTAAATCAATTTATGATGTATAATTCGATAATTTGTGCCTGGCAATAAAAATAATATATTTATACTTCTGTAGATTCATTGACAATGGCATTCACATATCTATTCAATTCGTAAGGGCTTATAGTTTTAATTTACAAAGCACTAATCCTAGATTCTAAAATTCTCGCCATTTTAGGTACTATCTCTTATATGTTCTATCCATGAATCGTATTATGGAAGTAAAGGAAAAGAAAAAAAGGGGGAAAAAAGGAATGCAAAGACCAAGTCTTCAGGGCATCCCTTGTCTTTAAACATATCTCTGTATGAGAAACCTTAAGCTGCACAGCTCGGCGGAAGCATGGGACATCCAGAAATTCATTCATAGTTCGAACTTCAAACCTTTTGCCTGTCACCCTTTCTAGTGGAAGATGTACCGGCGGACTTGTCGGCCGAAGAACTTGCCTCATCTGATTCTTTTATTACTTGCTTCAAGCTCTCTACCACTTGACTCATCGTTGGTCTTTCTTTGGCATTTTTGTTTAGGCAGCTGTTGGCCAACTTTCCCACTTTTTGAGCTGCACCGAGTGAATAGTTGCCTCTAAGTCGAGGATCGATTATCATGGTGAATCGTCTACTATCGGGTGGGAACTGTTTAACCCAGTCTAGAAGCTTCTGCTCGGATGTTGGGCGGTTTCTTTCGATGGCTCGCCTCCCCGTGAGGATCTCGAAAAGTACCACTCCGAATGTCCATATATCACTTTGGATTGTGAGATGACCGGTTTCAACATATTCTGGGGCAGCATAGCCGTAAGTTCCGACCACCTTTACCGAAATGAAACGAAACACGAGTCAACTACCTTAGTTCAACAAATGTTATGAAATGCATCATGATTCTCAAAACTATTTAAGAGGCAATTGTGAGTCATGAGAGTCAACAAAAAAGGTCAGCAGATAGTGGAGGGTAAACTAACAACAAACAAGGATGCAATGCAGATTCGTTAGATTCGTTGCACACAACAAATTGAGACAAGAAATAGTGTACTCCGATATCTACTTACCGCAGTGGATACATGAGTACGATCCCCTGATGGCCCTTCCCTTGCAAGACCAAAGTCCGAGAGCTTCGGCCTAAAGTTTTCGTCCAAGAGCACATTCGAGGATTTGAAATCTCGATATATCACCTATACAAATAAACAGTAGCAGCCCATTATAAAGATTGAACAAGATCATCTGCAGTACAATAACAAGTAGGTAATTTAGTGCATCAGTTGTTAGAGATGCTGAAGCAGAGGACGATCCCGGGTGATAATTTAGCATGTTTCATATAAGATTGTACCTTAACTTCCAAACCATCGTGTAGATAAGCAAGTCCTTCAGCAGCACCAAGCATAATCTCTAGTCTTGTTCTCCAAGGTAACGTGGATGTAGTGTTAAAAAGATGATCTTCCAAGCTGCGATTAGGCATGAATTCATACACCAGCAGCCTTTGGATCCCTCTTTCACCGTCTACCGAACAGTACCCTAAAAGTTTTACAAGGTTCGGATGACTAACCACACCCAGGAATTGAATCTCCGCAAGCCATTCTTTATGACCCTACAAGGTTAACCACAATACCATGAAGAAACAGAATCTGATCCCACAAATGCGAAAGGAAGAACAAACAAGTTTCAACCTTGAAGCAAGTACCTGTAAACCGAGCGTGTTGAGCCTCTTTATGGCTACAACAGTAGGGTCGCCTCGACCATTGAGAGGCCTAATTGATCCCTTATAAACACTCCCAAAACCTCCCTCGCCGATCTTTAACATCCTGTTGAACCCGTTTGTTGCATCCTTCAACTCCTCTAAAGAGAAGACCCTCAAATTATGCTCTTTCTCTTTATACAATTCCGGTATGCTCCTAGGAGAAGGAGTTGATCTTGTTGTCCGACTCAGTGGATTATCTGGCTTACTTTGGTTCCTCAATTCAGGAGCAGATCTTGATTCCCTTCGTTTGCTCTTTGATTTGTCCTTGCTGAACATAGAAAAACACTTCATTTTCTCTAACTTGGCAAAACAAAATCTCTTCAGGTTATATCCTCAAAATCGTTGCTTCAAAAGGAGAAGATTAGACCCGGATAAGGAACAAGGGAAAGAAAAATACCCAGAAAAGCCCAGTTTCAAAGCAATGGAAAAATGAAGAAGAAGAAAAAGAATAGGTGTGTGAAACAAAATCGAAAGCCAGCTAAGAAGCAAAACCCAGACAAGAGAGGGTGATTAAGGTTTGGAAAATCACTGCCGCACGACACCTAGGTTAGAGTATAGAAAGAAAACAAGGGTGAATGATGCATTCAGTCATTGAAGTCAAGACCATGAAAAGGACGGGAGAAGAAAGGAGAGACCCAGTTTGACCAAACTGACAGCAAATACACACGCTTTTATACAAATCTATTCTATAAAGTTATATCCCTTCGTTGGCAAGGCTCATTTTGATTTTTAAAGGGAGGACTTTTAAAAGCACAAGTCATCAGCAATATTATAAAATTCGTGAAGAATGGGGTATAGTTTTTTCTACATTCACATTTGTTGGGGAAGAGTCTAAAAAAATTTCAGCTTAACAACGGTGCAGGGCGGATCCAAGGAGGGGCAATGGAGCTTTGGCCCCCACCGATTATATTTTTAATTATTAATTAATATAAAATAAATATTTTTTTAAATATCCTTCAATTAAAAGAATTTCTATTTATAAAAAATAAAAAATATTTTAACCTCCACTATAATAAATTCCTAATTCTGCTCCTAAAATAGTGGATGTATTTTTGCTTTTTGCCGTTAGATCAATTATTTGAGGGGAAAAAATCAATAGTTATCGTTGCATGTAAAATAAAAAATTGTGAAACCAAGAAATATTAAGTATTGATAAGTATATATATATTTAGTTATAAACATGGATACTTATCTGAAATAAATATTAAACTGTATTTAATATTTTAAATTATAATAAAAAATATTACTAGAGTATATAACATTTTAGGTTGGAATAGGTAATATTTTAGTTTATAATCTAAAATATTAAGTTAATAATAACAAAGTATGTAAATGAGATAATTTTTCCGATTAAAACCTAAAATATTAACCTCGATTTTAAGTTTGACTCAATTTCGAAATTCATGCAACATTTTAGATTGTAATCAGAAATGTTACCAAAATATATAATCATTTTAAGTCAAACTTTAAACATTATCCTAAATCATAACAAAATATTAAAAAGAATATTTTTTTCAGCTGCAACCTAAAATGTTAGAAAAATGTATAACATTCTAGGTTTGGATTGGATAATAATTTAGATTACAACCTAAAACATTACCTTAATCGTAAATGTCGGATTATTTTCCGATAAGTTTCGATACTCAAATAAAAATATTGATACTTAGCGTGAAATACAATCGATTTGCAACGTTTAAACACAAAAAAAAACTCATGGTTTTTATTTCTCATGTGATGGAATATTTCATTACAGCATGATTTCACTCAAACTCGGTTATATTAACACAAGTTCTGATACTCATCAAATGAGTTTCGATACTCAAGACATCCACTTAACATTTTAGGGTATGAGGTTATAAAAAATTTCATACTCCAACTTGTTTAAGTAACAAAACTTTAACATCTGGACAAAGAAGTTGAAAATATTTTATTCGCACTGAAATATTCGTACTAAGCTAATTTATTTTGATAAATATGAAATAAATTGAATGGACTATTCTTCTTATAAGTTTCGTTATTCAAAATTATCTTACTTAATTATTCTAGAATAAATTAATGTAATTGAAAACTTTATCATAAAATATCATATTTTAAAAATTAACTAAAATGTTAATCTCAATTTTATATCTTTGAGAGTGTCGATATTTAGTTACAGATATTGATATTTGTCGTGAATCGTGTTTTACATTTTAGGTTGCGATTGGAATGTTACCAAAATATATAACATTTTAGGTTGCAAACTAAAATATTACGTTAATCTTAACCAAGCATGTGAAAATGATAACTTTTCCAATTACAACCTAAAATGCTAACCTCAATTTTAGATGCTCATAAGTATCGATATTTAGTTACAGATATTGATATTTATCGTGAAATAAGTATTAAACCACATTTGACATTTTAGATTGTTTGGATTAACATTTTAAGTCGTAACTTACAAATATTACCCATAATCAGTATGTAAGACCGATAATATTTTCAGTTACCCCTAAAATATTACAACCTAAATGAAATCTTTGTTCATTTAACAATTTGCAATATTCAAATTTGGTTTTTTGTGTTTAAAAATGAGTGGAGTGGATCGTCAAGTTGATACCTTCTTGAGAATTCCAAAATTCATACACAAACGGTGGAGAAATGGATAGTCAAAATGGTTTACGTTGTTGTCGTTTCAACAGTGAAGGCAACTGGAAATTGCTAAGAGCAGAATTTCTATTCAACTTCAACTTTCACCTGTAATAATTATTTGAAGAGATTGTTTTTGTCACTTCAATATTTTTGAATTATAACAAATAGGTGAGAGTACACATATTTAAACAAAAAATGAAGTGTATAGTTAATTTTAAAAATTGTTTATTTTCTCTCATAAAAAAACTTTATAATTTATTTTAAAAACTCATGTTTTATGACGTTAATCGTACGTTAACTACGATTTTTATATATAGAAGGGTCTTTTATCTCGCAATATAACGTTAAATACCAAATTTTTTAAAAAATAACATTTATCAAAATGATCATTTTGATAAATATTAGAGATTAATTTTAACATTATACCTTATTTAAATATCTAAGAGGAAAGAAATTACCCGATCTCAAAAAGATAAAGCCTAAATTTAAAATTGATTATTCTAATCTAATTAAAAGTCTTAATAGGCACTACTAATTCTCCCCCTTAAATTACAATTTTCCCCTCTACTTAGTAGTCTTCAAATCATCTCATCTCAATCAAAATTTAACCATCATATTGAATTATGCTTTTTCATTCATATTATTACTTTAACGCTTCTCTCTGCTGGCATTTCACCCTTCTTAGGGCAGTAAACGAGTTGAGTTGAGCTCGAGTATTGTTGAACTTAACTTGATTCGAAAATTCTAAAATAAAGCTTGATTCGTTTCAAAATTCACCGAATTTAAAATTTTTAAACTTGACTGGAACTCGAAATTATGAACTAAAGCTCGAAATAAAAAAAATCTGAAACTTAACTCTATTGAAACCTCAAACTAGAACTCCAACCTAAACCTTAAATACATGAAAATTTTATTCTACGTTTCTTTTAAACAAATCAACACTTAAATGTTAATATAATTTATTTTTCTTAAAAAATCTTGATATATTATATTTTCGAGCTGCTCGCAAGCTTTCGAGTCGAGTATTAAGTAGTTTGTTTGGCTCGTTAAGAACTCGAGTCGAAATTGAGCTCAAATCAAGTCCATTCGAATTGAGTATTTATCAAACTTTGCCCGTATCAATATCGAATAATTTACGATCTCTCTTGTCTCATTTTAGGTCCTACCCCTTCCCATCTTGCTTTAGGATTTAATTTTGCCCTCGCACATTGCCAAAGTAAATTGGTCAAATAGCCATAATTACCCAACTTCTGCCGCCGAACAAATTTAAGCTCGGTACCCACCTCTTGAATTCTTTGATAATGCAATTCGTTTTCCTCACCTTTGTTGGAATAACCAAACCAATATGAGCCAACTAAAACTCAAATTCAATAATTTTTAATGACAAAAAGCCATAAATAAAAGTATTTAAAAATGAATCCAATTTAATATAATCCGGTCTTCTTTGTTTTTGGTTGTTCTCTAATTTCAAGGTTTCGCCTTAACGAATTGAGATCGATCACACCTTATTTTGGTGAGTGAATCTCTCAACATAAATTTTTTATATACACGAAAACTCGAATAAAAATATTACTTACCACTTGAACCAACTCGTTACTATGAGTCAATCTTCTTTTGGCCTTACATGAAACTTTTACAATTTAAAGAATATTTTCCACTTAAATAACGCGTTTCACGTTACTAATTATGTGTGAGATATATTGTCTCTGTGCTCCAATTTGGTGTTTGTGCAACTTTTATGCTGTTGATTAAAAAGAAAATACATCTATTTTGTTAGATTTGTATAAATTGATGTGACACATTCTTAACGATATGAATACTTTTCTATGCGAATGAAATTAAAACTGTGATTTATGGACGAGAGAATTATAATTCCATATACTGCTTATTCATACACCAATTTTAAAGACCAACGAAATTTCAATTTTATTCATTCTTTTTCACTTATGATTATGTCAGAGAGTAAATTCAATTTTGAAGATTTGAATGTGAACCATCTTAGACTCTTATTTCCTCAAAAATCGTTTGACGAGAAATGACATAAAACTCAAAATCTTTTACTCTGACCATTATTTAAAAAGAAAAACTGAGATGTATGCAGATGTTAATATATGAATATTAGAATAAAAATCTTCCAATATAGAAAATAAAAATAAAGATTTGAGCATACTGATTAGAATATAGTCTTGGGTACAGTTACAGTAGTAGTAGTAGTAATAAAACATTATGAAAATCAGAACAATGTATTAGAGTAAGAAAAAAACGGTGTCGTACAGATCTCATCATGCTAATGCTATTCAATGATATAATATAACAATGACTACTGCGAGGTTAGCGCATGGGAAGTTCAGCCAAACTCTTAGTGGATACACCAGAACTATTATAAACAAAAATCAAAACAGCACAACCATACCCTTCTCCCGGAGAGTATAGGTAGCAATGATTCTACATTACAAATAGTCCTGACATGTCATCAGGTGGTCCATTCTAACTCTTCAATTCGGAGTCCAAAGTAGCCGTCGGTTCATTGCAGGTGGTGCTAATCCCGGGATATCACGGATGTCCTTGTTGTTTGGATTCACAATCTGAAAAAGAAAACCCAGCAATTGAGCATAGGTATAGCTACTGTGTGCAACAAGAAACGATAAATTAACCTAGGCAGCTTTCAATCTGGAATTTCACTTGGAATCTAGAGAAAATGATTTTAATATTCATCCAGTTATACACGATCCACAATACAATATTAGTTCAGTGGTCAAAATGTTGGAGCGAGGTTGAGGAAAACAATCCTACCTTCACGATTATGATGGCTATAACTCCAATGACAATAAGAAACAACAATGCCATAATGCATTTATCAGTAGCAACCTATTCACAAATGGATAATAAAATTAGTAAATACAATTTAACGTGATATGGATCATATGAGTGAGAGGAAGTGTATGTTTCAGAGACTGACCTGCCTGCCAATTTCTTTGACCAGTTTAGATGCTTTCTGGATTGAGAAGTGGATAGAATCCAGCTCATTAACGATCCTGCTCATTTGTTCAGTCTAGATATGATAGAAATAACATGCCTTAGTTTGAATATCGCTGTATAATCTCAAAAGATTAATACAATCTAAGTGTAAAACACTTGATGACCATGATGTTGATAATTCTTAATGCTTTCAAGTTGTGTACCTGAGCCTTGAGAGCTGCAGCAGTTTCTGTTCCAACATCAACAGTATCTTGAACAACCTAATATTAAAAAGGTTCAGGCAAAATTAGTCATTCATTCTCAATAGCCCATCAATCTGGATGTGTTAATGACGGGGGAATTAATACAAAACGTTGGACATCCCAAGACTTCTTGCATTTTGTTGATTTTAAGTTTAATATAGAAAGAATATAGAAGGAAATTTCAAGATCTAAGGATCTGAATATAAAACAAAATTATTTCTCTATATAGAAAATGCACGGGTGTCATATAATCAGATGCAGAAAAAGTTTTGATACCAACCTTCTTAGCCCTGTCAATGGATTGATCAGTCTCATCCATCATCTGGTTTCCTCTATCCATTAGCTGTTGATTTGTCATAGCTGCAGAACATACACAGGTTGTCTCAGAAGAAGTTCAAAATTGAAGGAAAATAAGATACCTACAAACCATTTCCAGTACATTCCAACAACATCCCAAGAATCAATGTAAAGGAGTCAGAATTGGATCAGGCAGAACAGTAGAACAAAGCTTCATAGTAAGATTATTTCTGGAAATTCATGCTGCCATACCAACAGAATATATTAGCCATTAGATATAGCTCTGATCAACGCTCGAATAGTTCTTCATAGCAAAGTTTATGCTGAGAATTACTGGCACATCTTACAGCCACTACCATTAGACAATCACTCTAAAATAAACGAGAGACTGAATTGTTATGGCATGCGCAGAAGTAAAAGGGAAAATAAAAGAGGCAAACAATGTTTGGCGTGAATTGATGCATCTGTGTGTATTGTCAATTTCAGAAAGAAACACTGATTGGTGAAGAGCAATGTCTACCTATGTAACTATTATACACACATTTTAATTTTCAACTTGAACTTCCACATCAGGTATCATAGGAAACTGATATACTTACATGAAGCTAGCAAGACATTTTCTTCCCCAAAGCCTTCACTAGGCCCATCAAAGAGATCGACTCGTTTGTTGTTCTCAAGATTGCTTTGGTGTCTGTAACATAAGAAAAACAATGTCAGACCAAGCCAAATTACACATCAATAAAAGAACAAAACATTTAACAAAAAGTAGCACTTACGATAGCAATGAATTTATTATTGAATAATATCTATAGTAATTTCCTTTACAATTTACCAGTTTTCAACCAATAACAACTTTAATTTAGTAGCACGAGATCAAAAGGATCACCAAAAGAATAACAACTTTAGTTTACTAGCACAAGATCACAAAATTGATCAAAAGAAAAGTTTAAAACAGAAAGAAGAGAAAATTTGGAAATAGGGAAAGGAGCCTGTGATCCAGAGAAAAGGGATAAACTCGATCAATATTCAATATGAATGATTTATACAACTAGTAAGAGCATGATTCATGAATAAAGTTATCTCTTCATTTCACAAGAAACAAAATGGATAAGTTCTACTACTTACTGCTTCTTAAGGGCTACGTATGAATTCAACTCCTTGATCTGCGAGAGAATCCCGTAAGGTCGAGAAAACTTTGAACATAAGTTAGTGTATCTAACTTAAAAAAAGTAAAAAAGAAAATAAAATGAAAGTTCTAAAGCACCATTGACTGCTTCTTTTCGTTCAGCATTTTGCGGGTGTTTGCATCATTTCTACTCTCTGTTTCCTTAAGTTCCGTATCGAATTCTTTGATGAGCCTGAAAAGAACAAGTGGAAACTATTTTGATTCTAACTGATGGAAAAACAGTTTTAAATAACCACACAACAGTCAACAGTATGGTAGACCAATTTCTTACAACCTTAAATTCTTAGTTAAGAAACAACACAATAACAGATGGGGTTTCTAGTTCAGTTTTTTTGTTCTTTCCTTTTTTTTAAAAAAAAAAGTGAATAAACCAAAGCTTTATCTTTGAGATTTATTCAAACTAAAGTAAGAGAGCCTTTCATAAACATAATGCGAGCCTCGTCACTGCTTTACTTCTTCACCTAGTAATAATTCAGGAAAACACAAAGCAGTCTGAAATACCTCTTACACTCTCGCATCTTGTCGGTAAGCTCTTCCAATTGCCTACTCTGCCTATTAACATCCTTAATCTTCTCCAGTTTCTGGAATCCATTTCTGAATAAAAATACAACAGCAATTTACAAAAAAAAATCGTAATCGATATGGAATCAACAATGCCAAAGCTCAAGCTACTTCAAATAGAGATTTACAAAAGAAAACAAAAGTTTACATCATAACAATCTGATCGGAATCAACATTGCAGAGTCAACGAAAGAAAAATAAGAATTAAATTCTTACGATAAAGCTCGAAAAATGTCGGCGATTTGTCCTTCGATCTCCGCTAGCTCTTCGCTGACCGCAGCTAAATCCATCTTTCAACCAGAGAGGTAACCGGCTAACTTCTCTCTCTCAAATTTTGATTCAATCTTAACGCATTAAATGCATTCACGGAATAAAGGAAACTTTAAATTCGTCCAGCTATTTATTACAAGGAATGTCGATGCAAGACACGCTCGCCAAAACAGCAGATACAAATCCAAGATCTGACCCGATCCGCTGGGTTTACGGTAAGTAAAACTCGAAACGCGTTGAATGCGGCGCCAGTGGAAGAGAAAACTTGAGACGAACTTTTAAATCCAGATCAAAGAGCCAAACAGCATCGAGATTTCAAAAAGGAACAAAAATTCGAAAGGCGAGAAAAGAATTACGAGATTTACAACATTGGTTTTGTGCTATGTGAAGGCTTCTTCATTTGTAAAACAAAAATGAAAGAAAAAAAGAATGTTGGTTTGTTGTTTGCTTAAACGTTAGAGAAGATTGCTTCTATTCCCGATCTAAAACAAACTCACTATACAAATAATACAATGGTCTTCTTGTGATTTACAGATATTCTTTTATTTTGTTTTAAATAAATAATTATTTTCCAAGTTTTTTAATAATAATAATAATAATATCGTTGGGTGATTTTTTGATTGGGAGAGAGCCGGGAGGTGTTGTCTGGCTTGCTGGAATTACAAATTAGGAACTAGGACGATGTGGGAGCCAACAACTTTTGAAGCATTTAAAGAAATTATTAACGTCTTCAACTTTTTTTTTAAACTTGAAGCGCTTATTAAATCTCTCTCTTACCCAACATTAAAGCATTGTACCTATTCCAACAATATGTTAATATAATGGGATGAGACATTAGATCCCTTATATAAGATAAGACTTTGAATCTTAATAATTACGAATGACATAAACTAGATTGAAATGGTCGTTCTCACATCTGCAGTATGTAATCTGAATTAATTGATCAATTTATTAAAAATTAGTGGTCTATACGAAAAAAAAGTGTTGGACGTATGAGAGAAAAAGGGTATCTCAAACTACATAGATCAAATATATATCACATCATTCGTAACTTTTATAGCAATAATTTCATGACAAATCGAGTCAAAATACAAAGACCTCAAAGAATGAACCCGATTAAGTCAAACTATCTTTAACAATATTACAATATTTTTAAATTAAAGTAATATGAAAACCCGAACATATTTTAAAATGGTTTTTAGCTTATTGAAGATAGAACGTCAAATTAGAGATGTCCTCCTCATCACAAAGTAACTTGTTAACCAGGGTAACACAATCGAATTCAAAGTGGACATTCTCCAGGGCAATTACAAAAACATTGAATTCAATCAAAGTAGGATTAAGAGCACTTCTTCAAATTTACTCGAAGAATAAACTACTGAAATGGTTACCTTTTATATTCGTACAATTTTATTTATTAAATTTAGATTTTGATTATTGAGATATTGAATATCATTAATTCAATGATATGATATATTAAATTAATTAATTTTTTTAAATCTAAAATAAATATAAATTAAAAAACTCTCAATCATTTAATACTTAAACTTCCATACCCAATTTCTCTTACCCTGCATCTTACGACATGATTACAATATAATATATGTTTTAATGTTTAGAACTTTATTTACAGTATATAAAAGAATAACACACCTACTTAAAATCTTTAAGAAAGATCGATATTCCTCCTTTACCACCACAGAGATCAATTGATTTGATATCTTTCATTTACTATTGGTGATTTTTTATTCCCCGTGAATTATTGGACTTTCTACAATTAATATAAAATTTAAAAATGGTTAAAACTTTAACCAAAATCCGGTAGCTACTAACTGCATTTACATGAGGAAGTAGTTGGAGGCTCTTTAAAGCACCATAGCACCAATCTTCACTCATAAGCTCAACCTATATACATATTACTGAAGCCATTAGGGGAAAAAGGGCAGCCATTTCTTGCTCCATGATCAACCATCTTGAATGATTAAACATGGTTCCAAGCGGGTAACTTTTTACTGTTATCGTCTGTTACGACCAGACATGTGATGAACAATATCAGAAACAATGCACCATTTGGGATCCTTGTATTATACAATTGCAGTTGAAGGATCAATATCATCAGTGTTGTGCTGATGCATTCGTTTTTGTACGGCTTTCACGGCTACTACTCTGGCAGCATTGGCTGCTTTGTTTGCAGCTGAGATTGCTTTGTGCACTCTCTCGTCGATCTTTGCAATGCCGTAAGCTTTCTCCGCAGCTCTCTGCGCTTCCTGTATGCAGGGCAGCATGTTATAAGAGAACACATTTACATTGATTATGACCGCGGAATTCTAAGGCGTACACATCAACTGCTAGTGAAGCCGGTAAATGCCAGATAAATGATATGAAAAATACCTGAACGGCATTATGGACTCGAGATTGTGTGACAGCATGGGGAGATCCAAGATGGATGCTTTGCGTGATATGAACATCAAGCACCCCATTTTTCCAGTGACCAGACTGTGGCTCGCCATTTCTGAAAGTGTATGTGCCAAATCCCTGCCTTCTTCCCTCATGCCATGCTCCCTCATACTGGTGTCCATTTCCAAATTGATAAACCCCAAAACCATGCATCTTGTCAGCGAAATATTCCCCCAAATATATGTCTCCATTTCTGCATTTCAATTCATAAAGCTAACCAGTCACTAAAACTGAATTCTACATCATACGAATGGACGTATGGTTATATCCCACAACTACTCAATTAATGATGACTCAAAGTTCGGAATTATTTTCATCCAATTCAATTGAAAAATAATCTGCACGCCTCAACACTAGTCTCAATGAAAGTACATTAATCCCCTGGCTCAAATAGCTAGATTCAAGTCCATTTACTCCAGATTTATATGCATGCATGTATCCATGTAAGTATAAAACCATGATATTATAGTACTCCACACAAGGCAGCCGTTTGTAGAAATCTGGAAGGGGTGACTTATTATCAGCATTCATGGCTAAGAAGATTGCAATGATATGGAAGACCGAAGTTATGAAAATGAAGAAACAAATAGATATCATAAAACCGACAGCTGAAATAGTTGAAATTTAAACAAAAGTAAACTGCCTAGGATGTTACTGTTAGTAAAATACACCAAGCATACACCTAGAATATGACTAGTAACTATAGGGCAAAGAACCATAAACCACTTTTTCACTCACCAAGGTTTAAGCTAATGAAGATTATTTCTCATATGAACTTATTAAATGATTAAAGAGAGATAAGGTTTAGGTGCAAAAGTAAAACTTCACCAGGTCAGTAGTTTTCTAGTCGAACATAGTTAATTGGAATTCAGAACCATCTAAAGACAAGAATAACGCAAGCTTTAACTACCACTTCCAAAATCTGTAATTGGAACTAACAATATCATACGTTGATAGAAACACAAACAATGCAGACTCCAGAGTCCCAAAGTTTCGGTTCTTTCCGGCATTCGATGACTGAAAACATACCAGAGAATGCAACATAAAAATATAATACTATTTCTTCACTCAAATACATCTAAAGAAGATCAAGAATTCACCTGAAATGGTAATGGCCAAGCCCATGCTTTACACCCCACTTAAACTCCCCGACATAGTTGCTGCCATCTGCACCAGTATGCACTCCACAGCCATGACAATGCCCATTAGACCACTCCCCTGCATAAACATCACCAGTAAAAAACCTGTACACACCAATCCCATGCCTCAATCCCTGCCTATATTGACCACGATATCGACTCCCTTTCGCCCAAGTTTCCACACCATAACCATCATATTTCCCATCAATCCAATCCCCCTCATATCTCCCTTTCATGTAGTAATAATAAACCCCGCTCCCTGAACATTTCCCTTTATGAAATTCACCCTCGTATACATCCCCATTACTATAAACCTGCACCCAAGTCCCTGAATTCGGCTTCTTCTCCGATTTCGGCTTGGATCCAATAGACCAAACAACAGTTTTCGAAGATTTAGAAGACGACCCTAGTTGGCTAAACTTAGCAGGTAATGAACGAGAGAGAAGCAATCGAATCGAAGGCAAGCGAGGGAGTGCAAGATTAAGGGAAACCAAAAGGGTAAGCGAGAAAGCAAGCAAAACAACGGAATTCAACACGAAAAACCGCCGAGGATCGGAAACCAAAAAGTAAAGCGAAGGGACAGAGAGCAAAAAAAGGAAACGTAAGTGGAAACAAAGCAAACGGCCACGGTTCAAATGATGAACAAGTTTCCTACCAAGACAAGCAGAACAAGAGAAATACTGGAAAAGAGTGAGTCTTTCGACCCTTTCGCGGTGGACACGGTGATTCTTGAAAGAAGAAAGAGAAGGGGACCGAGAAAAAGAATTGTGGGTCATTATAGGTCGCTTATGGGGAGTCGAAAGAAGGGCATGTGTTGGGGAAGGGTTATCGGAGGAGGAGGGCTTTTGATGGTGAAAGTTGGGTTCTTTGTGACGATGGGTTGTTGTTGCTGCTGGTGGCGTTGGTGAAGGGTTTGGTACTCGGATGGTGAGATGTGGCTTACTTTCAATGACAAAATCAGGGCTTTGATGATTGAACTGAGAGAAAAACCAGTGTGGGTTGTTGAAATCGGAAGAGATCGTGCCTGCTTTTCCGATCTCTTCCTGTTGTTGGTCATATTTCTTCTGATACATTTACATAAATCAAACACCTCCTCTTCGTCCCTTGATTTCTCTGTGTTTATTATAACCGCGAGTGAAACTGGAAAGTGTTGGTTTGAACTTCCAAGGCAATTTACTCTATGTTTCTTGAATCCGATTGAGTTGTGTGTTCTGCCTACTAATTATGGCTTGTTTGGTTTTGGCTTTTCGATGTCTGGTTTTTGAATTTCGACATTCCATTCTTTTTCAAGCAACATTATAAATTAGTTGGCCGACACGGCTTCTGTAACTAAAACGCCCTGCTTTTCATTTTATTTTCTCAAATGCCACTGCCTCATTTTTTCTCCAATGAATTACTGTTAGTTTGAAATTCTCAATTTATATAATTCCGAAGAAATAGAATAGTGAGGCAACTACATTGAGGAAGGCTTCTTAAAATATACTATTATTCTATTTTAGAAAAGAGGGGAATTGAAAAAATAAAAATCTCAGGAAAAGTAATATTGTAAATATGGGTACAACTAGGGGCAATTTCATTGAGGAAGGCGCTTTGCCTTAGCCACATCTCCAAGTATGAAAACCCTTTCAAAATGGGGGAAGCGCCGGGTAGCGTTGCTGACGAGGCCTCTTACTTTATTCCACGTGGCAGTTTACTGAATTTAGCACCCAAATAATTTTAAATAGGATTAAGTACACAAATGGTCCTCTGATTATAGGGTAATGCTCTATTAAATCTCTTTATTATTAAAAATTACAAAATGGTCCTTCGACTATAGAGTGTTACTTTGTTAAGTTCATCGACTATTAAAAGTTACAAAATGGTCACCCAGCTATTCATTATGTTCCAAATTCGTCATTTTCTGTTAAAAATTTGATAGTATTCTATGTTGACTCACTGTGATATGATGAAATATGATCTCATAATCTCAAACGACTATCATATCTCAGTCATCATGTTAACGTTCAACTTAGGCAACCGCCATTTTTTTTAATGAAAATGGATGAGTTTGAAACATAATAAATAGTAAGGTGATCATTTTATAACTTTTAATAGTCGGGGACTTAATAAAGCAATATTCTATAGTTGGGGACTATTTTATAATTTTTAATAGTCGAAGGACTTAATAAAATATTATTCTATAGTTAGGGGACCATTTTTATACTTTACCCTTTTAAATATAACAATTAATATAAAGATAATGCATTCCAGACTTTTCAGTCTCAATTATAAGATACTAACACATAAATTTAGATCAAATAATTTTAAATAAGATTCAATAAATCATAATAAATAGTTAGAATCCACACATAAGTTCCCCAGCTAAATACATTGAACGATAGTGTTCATATATCGACCTTAACCTTCTCTTCGTCAGGTCATGAACATGTGCTAATCTTGTTTATACCAAAGTTTTAACACGGAATTATATTAAAATGTGAAGAAATTAATAAAATCTAAGACGAAGAGGTGTTTAAGACAAGATATTGCAAGTGTAGTGAGGTGGCTTGTAAGTGTCTGAAGATGTAAAATAATAAATGCAAATAATTGGTCAAAAAGAGGAGGAGGTGAAGCCTCCACATCCAATCCAAATCCAATGACAAAGCAAGTAACTGGCCTTGCCTTTGTTCTTATCCAACCACCACGTTCCTCTCTGTCCTGTCCATATAATTAATAATACTCCAATATCAAATGCTACTGTTTATTTTGCTATTTTTTCTGTCCTGTCTAAATTTCTTAAAACCTGAGGTTTTAATTTAATTTTTCCTATAATTAGTGGAAAAAATTAACAGTTCTGTTAAGTTGATGTCATTTATATATTCCAAGGATAAAAAAGGGTTAGAATTACTTTTTTCTAAGAAGTTTGAGGACCAAAAGTGTCATTAACCCAAATCTAAAAAAGTCTAAATCCTAAATCTCTCCGGTCTCTATAGATAGGTTTCAATGTTCTCAAACTATGCAAAAAAGAAGAGTGATTGAAATGGAAATGTCCATCCATGATACTAAGTTAACAAAACACAAAACTTCAAAGATAAATTTGAAAAAAGGTTTGAAACGTGGGACCAAATAGTTTAATAATACAATACCCAAAGAAAGAAGAACAGAAGGGGTTGTATTTTATTTCATTTCAAAAGGATCATATAGGGGATAAAACCCAAGTTAAATCTGATAGTGAAAGCTTGGGGACCATACACTCCATGTCTACATATGAGAGCATATAGAACATGAGATCATGATGATTCATGTATGCTGATCCTCCTTTTCCAAGTTGTTTAATCAGTAGCTTAGAGTCTAAGATTAATTAATTCATGGTAATCAAGTAGCATGGCTTGTCAAAATAGGGCTACAAGTTGATGACATTGAGAGAGCCTTGAGTATGAAGCAATATCTGCCGAAAAGTTGGAATTTTTATCTTCACTTTTGAAAAAATGATGGGTCTTTAATTTTTCATTACATTAATTATTATTATTATTTTAGCCTCTTATTTGGTTACGTAGGAAAGTCTAGGTCAATATGAAAATGATTAGCTTGTATGGAAATATACAAGAAAACCTAGAAATTTATGTATTCACGGTAATACTTCTCACCGTGTAAGACAACTTTGGGTTTTGCTATTTCATATTCAAGAAATTTTATAAAACCAAAAATTTTAATGACCCAAATTGATGGATTAAGTCAAAGGGTGTAGGGAAGGATTTAGGAATGGAAACGAGTAAGTTCGAGTATTATTGAGATCGGCTCGATTTAAAAATTTGTAAGTTTAAAATTGTCAAGCTTGATTCTAACTCAAAATAAAAAAAAATTGAAACTCGTTTCGAAAACTCACGACCTTAAAATTTTAAAACTCGACTCTAAATCCAAAATTAAGCTTGGCACGAAACCGAAAAAACTTGAACTCAAAACATTCTAAGACTTAACTCGATTAAAGTTTAAACTCGAACTCAAGTTTAAAAAGCATATAAATGTAATATTATCAATAATTTAATTTAAAATAAATAAAAAGTTAATATATTATTTTGTTGAGTAGTTCATGAATTCCAAATAAGTTTCAAGTAACTCGTTTCGATTCGTTAAAAACTTGAGAGTTCGAACTCTAGTTGATCCCATTTAATTCGAGTGTTGACTGATTTTTTACCAAATCGATCTCGAATAACTCACGATCTGTCTGGACTCATATACAACCCTAGATTGCTTCAAAAGTAAAATAGTTTAGGGTGAACTATTCAGTTAGTCACTCGATTATTAGGTACTTTTACTTTGATCATCCAAGATAAGCAACTCGATTGCTTGTGAACTTTACCGGGCTCCACTGCTTTTGTAGGGAGGTGGGGGCGTGGTCGATGGCAATTATCATACAGGACATCGGTTCGGACCACCATTGGGACCCTTATTCATTCGGATACCAATTGACTGGCACCTAATTGTTTGTGTTTTGGTCCTTCGGGTGAACAAAAACACAAACAAAACTGTATCCAAACGCAGAGAAGTGGGCTCTTTGTTCGAATGAAGTATTTAAAAGCCCTTCTCTAATAATTCCTCACTCACCTCCTTGCTGGATCCTTTAATGCTTACAGGATTGGGGCAGTGCCATTTGTCCATAACTATGAACAAAATTCGATTAATATTCATTTATAACCTTCGATCAAATCCATTCAGTCAAGTTAATTTAATTTATGGATGGTTAGGATAAACTGAGTAAACAGTAAATTAAAATTAATTTAATGGGCAGTATGTACGTGTCAAGCTCAGACCTGATATAGAATCGCCCAACCTCAGCTAAGTGCTAACCCATGAATATACCATACCTACTCTTAAATGCTAATACCTATCTCCTCTCATTTAATATCTAATACCATATTCAATGAATATAAAAATTCATAAAATGTTTTCAGACACAATTATTCAAACACCAAAAATAATAAATTTCCTGAAGAGTAAAATTGGACCCAAATATCCTACAGATGAACTTATTTTGTTATGAACTCGAGGTCGGAGTGATTACATTCGTTTGCGTCATTAACAACGTCAAACACCAGAAATTAGAAGACTAAAACACGTTCATCCTACAAGTGAACAAATTGATACAAAAAGAAATAAGTAATGATAAACACAGAATACAAAGGTAATACACAGACCAAACAGCCAACAAATAATAATCAATTAAAACTACTTTGGAGGGAAATCTATACCCACAAACAATTCCAGCTAAGACGTAAAAAGCTGCTTAATTAACACTTGCTGCTAGCAAATATATGCTTTATTGTAATACTTTTTTGAACATTTAAAATCGGCTCTGAAACATGATTTACTTGAGAGGGGCTGTCAAACCATACCTCATAGTTCAAAACCATTACTTCCAAACTAGAAGATTGGGATACAAGCTTGTGTCCCAGGAAGGGAGCTTTGATTCTTGATATATCATGGTTTGTGAATCTTGAACCCGAATACTCTTGGAACGTAGCTTTGTGTTGCCTTCTGCGGCTTCAGGTGCCCGTATGTCATCAGGAACAGGTGCGGAAATGTGGTCCCAAAATAGGCTCCATCAATGTCTTACGTTACGTAGAATTAAGGTCACTATAAACTCAAAGCAAAACAAGCCAAGACGAAGTTGGAAATATGAACATTTATCTGACGACAGTATATCACAGCATTTATGTAGTATTGGCTGATAGTTAACTCACATTTACTGAAGACAGAACTAGTTCCCACTGATTCTCTTATCATTATAATCATCAAATTGAGTCCTTTCAACAATATTTAACAGGCACTAGTTCATGTTTTTTGGAGAAAATAGTCTACATACCTGTAACATCCTCCATGCCGGGTTAGTGATTAATTTGTAAAGTTTCAGCATTTGGTGATTTAAAGTAGAATGATGGAAGAGTTCAATGACTTATTTGAGTTATTTTGTGTAGGATTGAATTATAAAGAAAGAAGATTAGAAGGACAAAATGGTCTTTTTATAGCAATATAATTATTTGGGATTAATATTATATTAACCACGTGGAAGTATAGGAAATTAAAAACAAGCTTCCAGAGTCCTCTTCTTCTTTCTTCTTCTTCATACGTGAGACCCAAGCTAAGGTAAGATTCTCTTGTTAGTGAATTTCTTGATGAATTTATGGTTGATTCATGACCATTAGGCAATAGTTAAGCTTAAAGGAAGTTTAAATTGTTTTAAAACCTC